TTGTTAATCTATCTGTCCGTCCGTCCGTCCATCCATCTATCTATCTATCTATCTATCTATCTATCTATCTATCTATCTATCTATCTATCTATCTATCCATCCATCCATCAATCCATCCATCCATCCATCCATCCCTCCCTCCCTACCTCCGTCTCATCTAACTGACCTGAAGTGAAGAGTTGAATTCATGGTACAGGTCCGCATCTTCTGCAGACTCTGCTAACCTCTGGTAAAATACAGGTCAGATAATAGAATATTACATTTAAACTGGACATAGGACATACAACAGCAAAGACTAGAGGGTCTACACTTTCAGTGTAATTTTGAAACAACAACAAAACTGGGTTTTATGCCCACAAAGTCTCAGTGCTAGTCAGGTTTTTCCTCTCACTTTAGTACTTTTTTGACATCACTATCAACATTTGAATAGGCTTTAAAAAATTTTTAAAAAGCTGTGTTTTCAGTGTACTTGAGTTAATTTAGAGTTAGTGGTTCAACCCAAACATTTTTCATTTATATTAGGGTAAACTGATGTCTCGTTTTAAACAAAAGGTAACCTAGATAAATTATTTTTTTCACTTGTGGTCTTTAGCCTATTTTGTGCCAATACAGCAAAAATCTGTAGTCTTTAGGAAAGATATTCCATGCGAGCCTCTGTGTTTTCCAATACTTTGATAGCTTTTATGACCTTTTGGGTGATGCATACATTTCACTTTATTTAGTTGGTTAAATTATACCAAAGCAAACCACACCTTTCTAAAGGTTCAATAGTTCAAATGATAATAGTTCAAAGCTGCTTTTCTCTTTTTATTTTAGAGTTAGTTTACTGAGATTTTTGGCCAAAAAAACAATATGTAAAAGGTAAATGTCTTGACATTTTTAACAGATGTTATGTTAAAGAACTGAAAATGTAGCAGGTATTATCTCTACAGCAATAGAACCTCCTGCACACATCTACACACAGTGATGTCTGAGCCCAAAAACATTGACTGATTGATTGATTCATCTAGTATCTCATTAATTCATTTAGTACTTATTTATACATTCAGATTAGAGGGGATTTACCTTTACAGACTTCATCTTACTCCCCAACATTTGTTCAATGTCCCCAGAGTAGTCCCTCAGTAATTCACTTCCATCCAAATCAATAATCCTAACAATAGACCCCACATCCTGTAGTTTCTGAAATGAAAAGGAGGAGTTAGTTTAAAGTTACATAGTTTGCAGTTACATTAGTTTAATCATGAGGTCAGCAAAGATAGATTCGCTAGTAAATTCACATAAGATAAAGATACAACAGCTATTGATATTACACATTTCAAAGATAAAATAACCTAGCACCTTTAGATTTCAATAATAATAATAATAATAATAATAATAATTAAAAGAACACCATTCACCAATCAGAAAACAAGCAAGCGAGAACTTGGCTTTCAGTTTTTGCAATTTTTATCTTAAATCGTCCTGACTACCACTAGTTCAAATTTGTCCTTTGTGGAGGACATTTATAAACCTGAATATCTCCTATCCACTGAATATTTCTCAGTTAACTCCTTTTGATTTCTACAAAGGAGATTTAGGGCTTTTCAATGATACCAAATGTGAAGGGTTGGGCCTTTGGTACATAACTCTTCCTCACTCAGAAAGATGGTGTCCATCAGTTCAAGCACATTTTATGTGAAGAGGAAAAGTTTATATAGCGGCAATTAACAAAACACGTCAATTCAAGGCACATTATAGTTCAACAGAAAGTATTTGCCAAATATATATACTTTTTTAGCAAATTTAGGCTTTAAAGTGTCTTAACAACACATTGAAACATATTTTGAATAATTTTAAATGTCTTTTAACATAGTATTGAAAAAAAATGTCCTCCGTATTGGACATTTGAAGTTATTTCTGCCATTGTGTGTGTTTCTTATTAAATGATAAGAAAGGGTTTTATTCTCAGAAGCAGAGTGAATTTTTTTGCTGCAGATTGTAGATGATACTGAGTTGTCTGATGAAGAAGCTCAAGATCCAATGTTTGAGGGAGAACCAGAGGAAGATGAGTCAGAGAGTTCTGAGGATGAAATTCAGACAGAGCAAGCAGATGCCCTGTCTGAATCTCCTGAACTTGCTGTAATAGAGTGGTTGGACAACAAGCCAGTTGTCATGGCATCCTCTGCCTATGGCATTGAATCTCAGGAGACATGCAGAAGATGGTCCAAGAAGCAAAAAGCATTTGTCCAGGTGTCAGTGCCGCTGGTAGGGGCTCAGTACAACAAAAACATGGGTGGTGAGGACTTGGTTGACCGATTGAGGAGTTTCTACAGGCTGGCATCTCACACTCTAAAGTGGAAAATGAGTGCAATTTTCAATTTTTTTGGCCTGGCGATCGCCGTTTCATGGCTTCAGTGCAAGAGTGACTGCCATATTCTGAGGAAGAAACCAAAGAAGTTCCTTGGCTTCAAACTACTCCTCGGTGAAGAGATGATTACTCAGGCCCAAACTGGAATCACAATAACAAGTGACAGCGAAGATGACTATACTCTTCCTAACATCCTGCTGCACAGCAAAACATATGTGATGTGCAAGAAGTACACGGTATTCCTGTGTGTTTTAATGAAGGGAAATCACTTTTTGAAGTATTATACTAAATAAACTCAGCAAAACTAAACTAAAATGATGATGGAGAGTTATGGAGAGTGATGATGTTAAATTCACTGCTGTGTTGAAGTTTCAAAGTTATTCTTTCTGAGTAACTCGTTGCAATCGAGGCTCAGTTTGGAGTGTGGAGTTCCGATGTCCACTGTAGTAAACATGTGATATCGAAATATCTAATAACGTTTTCAGCTTTCTAAGTGACTCACAAAGACAGCAGATTTGTAAAAAATAAAAAACATAAAAAAAATATATGTATTTGGACAATATTTTTTCCTGGTAGCACATTTTTCTCTCTAGATGTAACCTACACATCTTGACACTACAAAGGTTTAGTTTTTGTGTGTTGTTTTAATATAGCTCTTGGGATAGGTGTTCCAGAGCTAGATGATGGCAGAACAGATTTGCTTTCACAAGCAGACCATTATGATATTTTTGTGGTGAAGTTCCACTTAGTACTTATATATAAAGTTCTATTTAAACATATTTAGGGAGGGAAATCATATATAATGGAAGAAGTACAATAACTCCTAGAAGTCTGCTTTCACACATGTATGAGATGAGAGGAACATAAAACATAACAGCAAAAAGGAGACAACTGACAACCAAAGTGAACATCAAAAATAGCTTAACGAGCAGCGGGCATCCCATAGATATCCATGTAAGTGGAAGAAAACACCTGTCCTGATATATAGAAACCTCAATATTACTGAGATTTCTATATATCTGTAGCTGCAGCTTAGTATTTAGTATTAATTTGTATCCGGGAACACCTGGATTGTGTATTGTTGATTGGTATGGCATTGTCCATAACTTTACAAGCACCATGGGGAGTGGCAGCCTAGTGGTTAGGGCATAGGGCTTTCAATCCTGAGATTGTGAGTTTGATCCCCCACTCCCACAGACTGCCACTCTGGGTCCCTGAGCAAGACCCTTAACCTCACACTGCTCCCCGGGCGCCTCACAATGGCAGCTCACTGCTCCCCAAGGGGATGGGTTAAATGCAGAGAAGTAATTTCCCTCTGGGATTATTAGAGTATATCAAAATAAAAAAAAATAAAAAAACCAAAAGACTTATCAAAGTATAAAAAATTAAGGGTTAAAAGTGACAAAATGAAATAAGGACATATATACTGACTTTATTATTAAATAAATGTACCATTAAAGTTTACGAAAATATATGAATACACTACTTGTTTATTATGATACATAATTAAATAAATAAATGTACCATGAAATGCACACTCAACACTAAAGTCTAGCATTAAAAGCTTAAACATATTTGAATTAATTTAATTATTTTAATTAATATAAAATACATATAATTATATGCCTCTGTTTTTATTTAGTATGTCTTTAGTGTAGTAGACCTATAATGAAACAAACAAAACTGTCATGAAGTGGGATTGGTGCCTTAATGTCAGATTGGCTGTTTTACAGAGGATCACAAGACAACTTTTCCCTAACTTACTGTGCCTCTTAGGTGAGTTTTTAATAATTTTATTTACTCTAGGTTAGCAAGCCTAATTTCTTTTTTTTTTCTTCTTCTTCTAAATATTTCTAACATCACTAGAGAGCATGAGCCAGTGTCAGTTAACAGGCAGTCTGCTTCCTATTAACAAAGATAATGTTTTAAAGCTCCAATAGCCCACAATTGATTAAAGGCACACTGTGAAACGTTTGGCCAGTAGCAGTGTTAGAACTGTAACTTTCACATCTAGTGGCCAGCACCACAGCACTGTTGCAAAAGTCAACAAACAGTCAGCCAGCCAGCCTTCTGTGTCTTTTGATTGGGGGTGCTAGGCATCTAGGCTCAGCTCAAAGGGTGTGAGAAATGCTGATGCTCTCTGGAGAGCACTGACGGGGCAGGCCGGACCGCACTGTGCGGCGCTCAGGACCAGAGGTGGGGCTCGACCGAAGAGCTACTGGGTCGGACGGGGTCCTCAGTTTGCTTGTGTTTGCAGCTTTCTCTGCCTGTATTTTGCTTCTACTAAACATCGAAAATAATAGCAAGGATATATGACTATATACTAGGAGCAAAGTGTTATCTTACCAGTCTAATAATAAAGTTGTTTAAAGAGAATCAGTTTTACATACGGCTTCTTCTTTCACCCTGCTAAAACAAACAAACTCCTTTCCAAGATCATCTCTTGTTTTTCCTGGCACACAATCCCTTTCCCGTTTTCTCTTTTTAGTCTCCTGATAAGGTTTAAACTTTTTCCTTGCCTCAGCCATGACCAGGAGTCGAGCAGGCGGAAAATAGTAGAGCAAAAGCCTTAGCTCCATGACTATATAAGAGCCTGTGGCCATAAAGTTCTTCCCGGTCACATTAACTGGACAACGACTGTACGTCTTCGCCTAACTTAATAGTCGGCATTTCAAGAGGGGAGCCCTGCTTGTAGCATTGATAGTGTCAAGCGTTTGTTATTGAACTGAGGAATCATTTATAATAACTCATATGCATAAACTCTTTAGGTCACAGAGTTTGCGGTGTGCCTTTACGGAACAATTACATTTTTGAAGAGTACCTGTATATATCCCCATGAGATAGCTTTGACCCTCTTCTAGCCCCAAACCCTCAACAATAATACTCTAGCACTGCCACTGGGGACTGCTAGAATATCTCAAGAATCTACTCTGAAGGTCTCATGACAACATATACCCTACAGTTATCTTGAAAGTTCTTACCTTCACAATGAACTTAACTAAACTGCCCTCTGTAGTTGTGTACCTTGAAAAATCTAGCTATAACCTTTTTTTTCACACCAGATTTTGCATCTCAATCAAAAAAGGTTCAAAATCTTTCTTTAGGGTGATTCAGATGTTTTTTGTAGCACTACTTCTACAATCTGATTTGCATAGTGCAGATTTAAGCATTTTGAAAAACAAATCAGCAAATGAATAGTAAAATTTATGTTGATTTCTTTGTATATTAAATTCTTATCTTTGTTTAAATGGTTTTGTCTTATTAACAATTATTTTGGAAACTTTTGTAATCTTTCTATAAGGGCTAAAACCTGATACAAATAGGTCAATTTAAACTGTTATATTTTACCTTCTGAAGTAACATAGAGCCAGAGTATTTGGTTGTAAACTCTCGGAGCTGAACAGAGAACACTGATGCCCACTGCTGCACCCTGGGAAAAAACAGACATGCAGTGAGAAAGTTAATATCATTAAATAGTTCATGTGTGGAATTAATTCTGTTGATGCTTTCTGTTAACCCAAGTTAATACAACGTCATCTTAAGGGAGTCATTTCAAACAGATGGGTTTAAAAGTTATCTCCATAATCAACTTCATACAGATTGCATTGAGTCATGCAGAATTTACTTCTCCTAGATCAGCATGTAGCAAAGTGGACAGTTTTTTTATTGTCTCATTCACTTTGCAATAGTCTCTCATACAGAGCTTGCATGTAATGGATAGGAATACTCACTCTAAACCGGAATAATCCTTTAGCATCATCATAATACCCATCAGACAAATTTTTTGAATTGTATTTACATGTAACCTATTGCAACTTTTTTGAAAAAAAATATGTTTGAGTAAATATGTAAATTCTCAGGGAGTATGGAATAGGGAAGTAAATACAATAATTATTCTTTGAAATTAAAGTACACGATTGCCTTTAAATAATTCAGTATATACTTTGTAGAAAGGACTGCCAAATATAAAGAGAAAGGAAAAGAACACATTTACCATCACAACTACTAATTCAATTTATTTTACTTTATTTATATAATTCCAATTCACAATTTGTTCTAAATACACTTTACAGTAGAAGTAAATTTAATTGTTGAATGATTCTAAGTATTTAACCCTCCTGGCTTGTAACAACAATAAATAGACGCTGAATTATGCTGCTTGTTTTGCACCACTATCCTATACGGCTTAATCCTTTATAGGGCAAGATACTGTTTTTGATCACTTGTATACTCATTAAAAATGGTGTCCCCCTTTCCGTCAATCAGGTCTAGAAGCACAAGATCTATATCCAGCCATTCAGCAAAAATACTGCTACATGGCTGTACATCTTATTTTGGTGTTTGACCAATTAGATGAGCCCTTGAATGATATATTAATTACCTACTAAGAAAAAAAGATTAAAAAGCTAATTAAAAAGTTAAAAAGTAAAGTTAAAAAGTTAATAAGCATACTTAACAATTATATTTAGGTTTATAAACTAAAAATGTGTTTCTTTCACTCTCAGAGTGTTTTTTTTTATGAATTTCTTATAGAAGTACTTTTGTTATTTTTCTTAATACAGTCGTAGAAGTTGGCATTTCTTGTAATTACATTGACATTATTTTTCCCGTATTTTTTTTAATGTTATAAAGGCTTTGGATTCCAATAACACCATTGGCTTGAAATGTCGTTGATTTTAAATGCATTTCACTGAGTGCCCTACAAAGGGTTAAACCTCTAACAACAGTAAACAGAGAAATTTAGAAACATTTAGGAAGCTGCAGTTTAGCCTATGGCCATCTGTCATGGCTTCCTTAAGTTTGAACAGAAAGAGCATATACAAGAAAACAGAAAACCAATAATACAGAAGGACTACCAATGTTAAAAAACAAAAAAGAATTTCCCTGACATGCAAAGAAATTACTGTCTACTAATTTAGAATGTTTTTTTTTTTTTTATTGTAGTAACAAAGTTTACCCTGACCGCAACAATAAGATAATGTTACGGAGGTACCCTGACTTGACAGAAAAAAAAAATCTCTAATTTCTTAATTTTTATTAGGTTTTCATAAAAAGATTAAATACCCTTCTAAATAGTCAGTTGAAAAGTCTTAAATTGCATGACATTTATCAAACCCTTCCTAAAATTGCTGACAAGCTTTTCATGTCTTTTGGACCATTCATCTTTTGCAATAAGTAACAGGTCTTCAAGGCTTACTATGATATTCATCTTTACCTACCTCAGCAGATTAGATATCAGTAATATTACTTCTAGACAAAGAAACATATTTTACAAATGGCAGTTGTCTAAATTTCCAGGGTTATACTGTTCCTAATCTAGATCCTAATTTTGACCCTAGCAAATCCTTTATGTATTGTTGTCTTCTTATTGTGACCATAAGAGGAAACTAGCACCTTGGATGACAAAGGCAAAGAGGTACTTACGTCTCTGGTGGGATCTTCATTTGAGCTTCAACCATAATCCACAAGCAGAAATATCCCAGAATCTTCAATAGGTTCTTCATTCCCAATGTTCTTGAATTGGTGTTTTCCCAAAGTTATTCCTCGTTCAGGGCAGTTTTGTTAAATGTGTGCAGGGGTTTAAAGTTTGAACGGATGGCCATATGCTCTAAAGTAATGGCTTTCTCATACTTGCAACACAAAGAAGATGCCAATTTTTCTCTTGGTTAACTTTTGACCCTTTACCATTCCGTAGAGTCTTGGTAAATTTGTTCTTTAAGTGGCATCTTCTCAAGCCTTTGATCCTTCTCAGGAATCCTCCCACCAGTCCGTTAAGATTTCATAGACATTTGCACAGAAATTAATGGAAAGGAAAATCCTTTCCCAACTAGTTAAATACACAATCAATAATGTGGAGAAATGCAGATTTGTATTTGTAAATAGCTCCTTTAGTTTTATTCCCAATCATAGTGGCTTCTGCTCCTATCCAAAGATGCCCAGTTTGAAAGATAGCTCATTTGGATCAAACTATGCTCCAATATGCAAGAGACGGGTAGAGAAAGAGAGAGAAGGAGATTGAGAAATAAAGGTGGGAAGGGGAGGGGATTGGTGTAGGGGATTGGAAGAAGGCTCTGTTTTATCTAAGAGGATTAGAGAGATTGCCAGGGATAGACTCTCAGGCAGCCAATCAGAGCTGTAAGAAAAGAGCTGCAAGACAGTGTGCTAACACACTGACACACTCAGGCAATTATTTAATTATTAGCAGAAACACCACTTGATTTCCTGTGTCTTGCTAGGCTGTTGAATGCTTAGAAGGATGTTTGACACCTAGGCAATTAAGTGTTATATTAAACAGGAACTCACTTTAAAATATGTCGCTATATACTGATGTGAAATGAAACAAAAGTGCACCTCTGTCATTACTCAACAAATATTTGTCTGGTTGTGTCAATTTTAAAATATTCAAATGATTCATGAATTTGTGTAGAATTCGCTTTATTGCAATTTAAATATTCCATTTTACATCAAAACAAAGCAATATATTTTATTCATATGTATTTATATATCTATCTAAAAGAAAAGTCAGCCAAAAGTTCTCAATGACTACAGTCCTGTTGGCCTGACATCCCACACCATGAACGTCCTAGATGGACATCTTTTGGTTCACCTGAGCTAGAAAACAAGAGGCAATCAGGACCCCTGCAGTTTACTTATTACTGTGTAGTTGAAATTGAAAATGCCATCATACCCTTAGTTGAACCAACCAAATGTCTCTGTGAAAAAACGTATGGATAATTAGGCATATTCATATTTGCCTAAATCAAAATCTACCTGGCAAACACCCCAGTTTGTTAGTCTGAAGGGTCACTCTTGTAGTCGGAAAAGGGACAGTGCCCTAATTTATATATAGTTTTTATTGCTCTATTTGGTGGTGGTGGAAGCAATAAAAATATGCATAAGTTTAAATAACTATTAAAATGACATTATTTATTTAGGATATAAAATGTTTATTTATTTAATGTATGCATCGCAAGTGACATTTTATTTTTTAGATTTACATCACAAATTTTCCACTGTGCAAGTTTTTACGGGATATGCAGCAGTTGTGATTTTCCATACCTGCACCAGTTGTAATTGGTCACATTTATAGACTTCTGCTACTGTTGTCAGAACAACTCCAGCAGAAGTCTGAGGGGAACTCTATGGGCAGAAGCTGCAGGAAAGAAGCTGAGCAGGCTGATGAGCAGAATCCAGCAGATGAAGAGGAACAGAAGTATTTGTAGGGAGAATCCAGAACCAGAGTTGTAGTAGGAGCAGTTTTCCAGGCCAGAAGATCAGAAGTCTAAAGAGGAGGCAAAGGGATATCCAAGCTAGGGTCAGAAGACAGGTCCAAGGTAGTTAGCAGGCAGAATCCTGGTAACAGTCCGACAACAGATCAGAACAGGCAGAACAGGGGCAACCAAAACTCAGAAGTGAAGGGACAGAAACTAGTCAGAATCAGGATCTCAGAAAGTCATAGATTCCTAGAAAACACCCACACTCAGTTTGAATAATCTGGCACTGATGGTTGGAAAACAGGCAGCATAAATAAGAGCTGGAACAGATGGTTCAGATGAGCAGTAATGAGGAACCGGGCAGATTTAGACAGGTGAATGGAATGAGCAATTAAACCAACCATCAGCATCAAGATCATGACAACTGTGACATGCCTAGACTTGAGTAAAAATATAATTGTCAAAAGCTTCCTTAAACAGTTGAGACTGTACAGTAGGATTGTCTATTTGTTTAGCTACACCCATCTGATCCTGATGTTGGAGTTGAGGATACACCAGGTGGCCATGTCAGCAAAACAGAAACAAATTTAACGATACATATGGTAAAGGTCTTAAATATTACTTCATCTTGCAAAGACAACAAATCCCTGACAGAAAATGCTGAGTTTTTTGTGCCATTAGAGCTATGACTGCCTCAACAGAGAGCAGACGTTTTGCAGGTCAGAGCGATCCAATGTTGTGTTCCTCAGATGAAGCTGCCTTACTCTTTATACATAAAAGTCACAGAGCCGCTTTTTTAACCCAGGAAGGAGAGAAAAATTTAAGCACTTTCTACCTGCAGAGCAGCAAGCAGTCTGATAAACTTTAAAGATGCAGCTAACCCTATCTCACTAGAGATTTTGGAGAAAAAGGTGAATGAGTATGTTTTCAGCACGACATGAGATGTCTTTTCCCTAACCACAAGGTTCCAGTCAGGGTGTTTCTGCCAACCATTCCACAGGGGAGAGTTTCAGAGAGGAGGGACTGGGAGCTGTTGGACCTAGGTCACGTTTATTTGGTCACCTTCCAGTACCTGTCAGACCAATCCAATCCTATCCAATCTTATTTGTTAAGCAATTATAAAACAACCACAGCCGTTCAAAGTGCTGCACAGAAATTTAAATAAAACATAAAAAGACAGTAAAAGACAAAACAGCTCATGCCTTCTTCTTTCTGGTTTTATTGATATACAACAGATGTCACATAAAGTGGTGTGTTTTTCACACATTTTCAACACATTTTTGTAATCCATGGTGTGTATGAAGTAAGATTCTCTGGAGGCTCTGTGCCGGAGCCACTGGTAATGTTTAGTATGTAAAATGCAATTCACAGTGTGCATATGTAATGTTTAACTTTGAAACCTCAGTGGATCCACTTTTCTCTTTAGGCACTGACTTCCTGCCTGAACAATCCACTGTACTCCATATTGACGCGGAGTTTAAGCATCAAGTGTGAAAAATAGACCAGCCGCAGAATTTTGAGATGCATGAAAGGGCCGATGTTTCAGAAACACTCTGCGGCATGTCGGGTAAAACCACTCTGACTAACTGGAGCGGCTGTGATTGTTGATATCAAATGTCAGTGATTTAACAGGAGTGATTCCCACCTGCAGTCACACACCTGCAACAGAGTTTATTTAGGGAAGTGGCTCCTATTTGACTTGCCNGTGGCCCGGCCATCGCTAGCACACTCAGTGCTTGGAGTAGGGATGTTAGGGTCCAACTGAGACCTGGGTTGTGATTCCTTTCATATATGGCTTCGGGGTCATCATGCAATCCGGGAGTGGGCCATATCTCCCATAGTGAAACACCGAGCGAAGTTAGAAAAAGAACGTTGGGTTACTTAACGTAATCCCTGGTTCTTTGATAACAGAGTGAGGTGTTTCACCAACACATCCCTTCTTGCATGGGCACGGAAAGAAACCTGTCTAGAATGAGTTGAGGCGGGTAGGTTGGCCGTGATCTAGCTGGTGGGTGGAGCCACGGACACGGCTCAACCTGTCTGTCTCAGACAGACGTGATGTCATTGGAGCTTCCGTAGTTGGTCACGCCAAGGCGATTCCCATAGTGAAACACCTCACTCTGTTATCAAAGAACCAGGGATTACGTTAAGTAACCCAACGAAATCAAATGTCAGTGATTTAACAGGAGTGATTCCCACCTGCAGTCACACACCTGCAACAGAGTTTATTTAGGGAAGTGGCTCCTATTTGACTTGCCATTGCCAGTAGCAGACAATCGCATAAAGCTAGACACATCATTTCTCAGCTATCTAAGGAAAACCAGTTGATTGCATTGACTCGAAGGCAATCCCTCCCAGGTCTTTAATGTGGACCCTGCGCAGGAACGCGTAAACAGAGGATTAATGCTTGGGGGAAGTGTTCAGGGGCCGGATTTTTGTCTTGAAGTACATCAGCTCCTCCTCTGTCACCACCTTAGCTGCTGTCACACTCCAGGAACCAGGGCAGATGATTGGCTCTGCAGAGATGAATGGCTGTCATTTTTCTTCTATTAAGGAACTGTTTAGCAGGTCAGCAGCTAAAATCACATCTCCGCTACTTCAATGAACACAAACTGTTTCAGATTTTTCCATAGGGAAGACAGCTGCAGAAAGCGGTCATTTTCACAAAGCTAGTTTAACAACCTAGTAATAATTGATCTAGCTTGATCTAGCTAAGTAGGGAACTTTGAGTTTTTGGTTTCATAACAACCAGGTCATATCCATTTTGAATGGAAATGACCTGAATCTTACCAGCATGTTCAGTAAAACTAGTACATATCAAAACTGCTTCCATGGCCTGATTTGACCATGACAACAATGCAGGTTTATTGTTTATTGACAGCAGGGGGAAATTAGGGTCTAAAAACGTTGTTCTATTTGATATAACCTGTGCACCTTTTAATGGGGTTCATACTCATGTTGATTCTGTCTTCTTTTACACAGTAAATACTAAGTGACTTTTTGCAGCCGCTTGTGATGTTCGCACCCCAATAGTCATTATTCGCGGTTGAATGGCTTCAGATTTTCCCAGTTGGCTCAATAGGTTGATATCACCGAGTGAATCCTAATCCTAAGCCTAAAGTAATTCCATTTACCCCTGTAGAATTAATTAATCTATTTATGTGTAATCTAAAAAAAAAATAAAAAAATATTGTTCTATAAAAATCTCTCTGTGAAAAAAGTGCCAATTTTTCCTTAATAACATCCTCTTCAAACGGATATCTAATGTTTGTTTTGAAAACCTAATGTGTCCGACAGACTAAGTAAACGATTATTTCTTTGGTGCACAGAACTTCGACAGCAATCATTCTAAAACAGTAAATAAAACAATGTGATTGGATCTAAGGAGAGTCAGAGGACACTGAGTTTACTGGACAAAACCTGCTCCCAACCAGGTTAGCTCTGGGGAGAATGTTATTGAAACTGAATTTGAGTAAACTCTCCTTGTGAAATTCAATTTCCCATATTTCAGGTTTAGAACTTTGACAACTTTTAATGTTATTTTATATACACAGTGTAAGCAAAATGAAATTTCGTTTTGTAAAGCTTTACAACATTTCCAATAAATAAAGTGTGTAAAGTGTGATCAAATGTAAAAACTGTTGGAGAAAAGACATGGTGCAAA